CTTTCTTTTAACACACTTCGACTTGGCGCAAGTATTCTACATAAAATACCAACATTTCAGTTCTGTAACTAATTCCGTTTACGGCCTGGAGACCCGTTACAGACTGGCAGACAGGCAGACGACGGAGTGACAGCAATAGGGTTCCGTTTTTACCCTTTAAATACTGAACCCTAATAAAGGGAAGTATTTACCGCACAGGTACACCCACATAAATATAATAGAAATTTTATCAAGAGCTTTGTATGCGGATCGTGTAGTAGGTATGTAGTCGAATGGGCCTGACACAAATTGACGTAACGGGGTCAAGAGACTCCTCTGCAAGCCTTTTTAATTTGCTCACAATTATGTCCCGCTGTTTTTCTTTACGTAAATTCTAAAGAGTGTTTATTAGCTTGGATTGGATTTATTTATAAATGTAACTTAGTCGTTTTTGTTTTCCAACTTTGTTTAGTTCGCGATTATACTTTGTCGTAAAAATATATTGATTTAATGCTAAAACGTACGATAACGTAATGATTGATTTATTACGGTACAGTGGCCTATTTACCCAGATCGCGGGGATGTTCAAACAAAGCATTCTTATAATATAAACTATTAATATTAACTGGGTATAGTGGTCATGGCTAAAATTAGAAGAAATCATAATATTTATTTGAGAATACAGTCTGTTAATCAGAATTTATTTGGTGAAAATGGAGTAGAGTTATGATGAGTCTTCATCAATATTATGTAGACGTAAACTTTTGTTCTTTTTTTTGTTGATTAATCAAAATAAAATACCTGTCTCAAGAACTTGAAATCCTCTCCTGATATTCTGATTCAGAAAAGTATAGTAATGACCCCATATTTTATGTGGTCTGTGAAAATAATACCTAAGATATCATTTACCTTGACTATTGATGAAACAGTGTAGTAAGTAGTTTTTTTTAATCAAATAATTTAATAAAACCAATTCTTCTTCTTCTCACGAAAAATCTTATATAAAGTTTTATTTTAATTCTGAGAAATCCTATTTAAAATAACTTTCATTTTATTTAAATCAAAGCAACTATAATACTTTTCAACTTTTGACTTCTCATCAATCGTATGTCATATAGATCAAAGAGAATTAATAAATCCAAAGAGCACAATAGCATTTCTCTGCAAGAATATCAGCAGAGGCAAGAACACAGTTATATTATTTTGTCCATGCCCATATTGCTCCAGTGTGCCAAAAAATCAAAAAGCTGAGTGTCCTAGGCCGATTTATAGGTCATTACCTGACTCAAAATGGGAGGCAGGGCAGCGGTGTTTCGATACTAACTTAATGTAAATTCATTTAAATCTTCCAGGTGAAAAGAAGTTGACTGGAGTGGTAGGGCGAGTGAAACTGCTTGGCTACACCAATTAACTCCGCGTTTGGACTCCAGTAAACATCAGATGGAATTGAGTAATTTATTCTGTGAGTCACTAGTTCACTACGTTATGATCTTAAAATATTTTAATGGAAAGTGAACAGATGTAATTGTAAAACGTATCAGAGTATCATACATACATTATTATTTTTTATTACTTTTTAACACACCAATTAGCCTAGCCCCAAAACACTGTAAGGCTTGTGTTATGGGATACTAGGGTAACGGATAGAATACATATACTGTACTTAAATAAGTATAGAAATATAAATATACTATATAGAATATAATAACCACATTGGCGTAAATTACTTTCAAGAGTAAGGGTATCCTTAACACACGCATGTACCCCCATCATTATTGGTATCATTTGAAAGCTCAATAGATAAATATCAATAAATATTAAGTGTTTTTCATTAAAAGAAAAGCTTGCTACTACCAAATGTGATTCAATGAAAATAAATTTATGTTTGATAGATAGAGGCCTCTTTAATGTAATGCGAGGTTTTAGATTACGTTGTTATTTTATTCCATTTTGTGGTACTTGTCTCTAATTTACCTTTCATTTAATACCAAACATTTCCCTCATCATTAATTCAAAATTAAAAATTTTAAGAGGTGCGATTATTTTGACGCCGAGTGTAGAAATCATCAACTTCGCTAAATAACTAGCATTAGGAGCATAACTTCTACCTACCTTAGTGTATTAATATTAATTCTTAATCAACTTCTAATATGTTTTTTGAAACTTTGATCATCTTTATTATTGGTATTATTATGTAAGAAAAATGACCTCATTCTTTTCTGAAGGTGAATCCAATCAGTAAAATACGTATCGTTTCTCAGATTCTAATTAATGAACCAATAAGAAGGTAAGGCTCAGCTCACACTGGCGCTTTCTAAGCGATTGAGGCTAGGAACTTTACTATAAACGTTTTTGTATCTTTGGGGATTTCTTTAGCCAACAAACTAATGGCAAAAAATCCTCAAATGAAAACTTATTTTTATTCAAACCGGCTTTCGGCCGCACTTTGCGTTGCTTCATGTTTTTAGCCTTAGGAATAGCTTAACAATGGGAGAATAGATAAGAATTTGCACCAGTCGAAACACGGGAATATATGACGCGTTGCTTCGACTCTGCGCCAGTGTAAGTTAAGCCTAACACTTAGCAGTTGCTTTACGAATTAACGCTTACCATGGTGTTAATAAGTAAACCTATTTACACAACACCCAAACATACTAATACTATTGTGTGATTAAAATAGAATTTATATGTATAAATTGACAAAATTAATCTGAACACCTTAAACACGAGATAACATACCAAAAGCGCATTTGACAATATTTTTATTTATATTATTTAAGTAACTCTCCATGTAAAGATTAGTTTCGACTAATCTAATTCCAAATAATAAAAGAATAAGAAAATATCTATTTCATACGTTCAACAACTAACCCAAAAACTTAAGTCACTTCTTCTTACGAGAGAGAATTACTTACGAGACACTATAAGGATTTTAACATTTACAAAAATGTTGGAATGAAGAAAAAGGTACCATGAAAATATTCAAACATTTTGCCCAGTCATGTAAAATCAAGCACAACGCAGATCCTTTCTCGGTCAAGGAAACAGTACTGTTGCAGTACTCGTCTCTAGTTCAAATCCTAAATCAAACAGAATATATTATCTGTAGACATTTATATCGACACGTCGAGGATACTTTTTCCTGTGTTGTGAACTTATAACGTGACTGGGTACTAATATTATATTATTAAGAATGTTTTGTCAGCTGACACTCACAAAGCATAACATTGCATTATGTCCAAGGTACAGTATACTCAACTATAACAACATTTGAAAGTTCGTTGTACCATAATAATAGTAGAATTACTAGTTTCTACATAACTATAATGTTTTGAAAGTGTCAGCTGTGAAAACATGTCCCTCCTATACTCATAGATCTTATTTAAATGCGCAGGGGAAAATAATAAGAGTTATCCCCTTCAGAGATAAATCAGGTTTTTGTTTTTTAAACCAAGGAAGGTCCCCGCTTGGTTAAAAGAAGTTCTACAACTAAGTATATACAAAGAGTTCAAAACCTAGTTAACCTTCAGAATTTTGTTTTCATCTAGTTACTAGTTAATCCGAATAGGAGGACAAAATAAATAAAATAAATCCGAATAGGAGGACAAAAAATAAAATAATTGAACGTTAATGTCAAAAAGGATCAAATTTTAGGGTTGAATTCTCTATAAGTATCCGATTTAGAAATTTAATTTAGCCATCATACCTAGCCATCATCTTTGCAATATCAATATCGTTTCCTTTGCTTCTTCCTACTTGCGGCATTTAAGATATCTAGCGGATTATGTCATGAATTCATTAATCATTATCTAATCTATCTTTTTAATGGTAAGGATATCTAATAAGCAATATAATAATCATAATAAGCAATCATATGGATAATGATCGTATATGATATAGATAGAGCCTGAACAAACTCTTCATCGTCACCATTTAGATTCCGAAAGTAACTATAACAATGAGGATCATTACTAGGTCAGCAACTCTTAACATCTTACACACGTGATAACTTTTAAACGAAATATCCGATTGAGATGAAACAAAAAGTATTTTACTTCTACATAAATACTCTTGATAACATGCTTAATTTCGATAAAGATTAATATTACGATACATATTTAACGTAGTTTTTTTTTTCTTGAGACGATTAAATAATTATTTTGAACACAAAATCGGTTATTGTGATTAAACCATGATAGCTAGATATATTTTCTCGCGGACTTTTTTGTAGGTCTTGGGATGGGATCTACAAATCCGTAGTACATCATTTTGTTCTATTGTCAATAGTTTTTGCAGCGCACGCAAAAATAGGTTTTCGATTTTACACCTTGTGCTACAAAAAAGAAATTTTATAACGGATCCCTAATTTTGAAAAAAAAAATAGCCTATAGCCTTCCTCGATAAATGGACTACCCAACACTAAAACAATCATTCACATCGGACCAGTAGTTCCAGAGATTAGCGCGTTCAAACAAACAAACAAACTCTGCAGCTTTATAATATTAGTATAGATTTTATGATAGCCAATATTTACTGGCGGCCGAAACGTGACGTCACGTAGCTCGATTGTGGTTCACTCCGGTGGAACTTAAGTAGCGTCTCTACGTACGTTCGCACCCGAGCACTTGAGCTCTGAGACGTCACAGCCACCACGCGGCCATCCGAAAATTCGTTAAGTAATTTAGTCATAACTTCGTGAATATTTGTCGTAGAACAAAAATTTAACCCCTGTTTTTATGGAATCTTTAGCTCTATAAATCTGCATTCTCAACTTAAATAGTTACGGATCCTCATTGTTAATTAAATAATACAGATATTTACAACTAGTAACTTCCTTGCAGAGTAGTTTAGTATAGGTCGCGGCAAAGTCCTTGAGCAAAACCACAGGGAAAGAAAGTTGCGCAGTAGATGTTTTTGTATGAAAAATTGCTACTACACATGCTACCTTGTTTATGGTCGTTGCTCAAGAAGTTTGCAGGGATATATAATTTAAATCAAAGTTTATAAATTTTTGGACTCACCTATTGCCTTATTATATGGCATGATAGCAGCGCTCCTCTGGTCATGGCGCAGGAGGCTCTCGGCCTCCGCCCCACCTTGGTGCGACATCTCCATTATCTGTCAATCCTCTGATATCATAACCTTCTTGGTACAGTCATTTGTGGGCTCTGAGTCGGCGAGAATCAAGTCTGCGAAAAGAGGTTTGCAATCAGCAAAAAATTTATATCCTCTGCGATATCTAAGGAGGTTAGCGCGTTCGGTCTGCGATTGTGGACGTTAAGCAACTTTTGCAATGTCGATTATTGGATGGGTGAACAAAAACTTAAAAATTAGTAAATATTCTCAGCAAAATGCTAAGTACTTCTTCAGATTACACATGGTACACTCTAATAATGCCCTCAATGCTTGGTCACAGGCCCTCCGTTCTTTTGACGAATAAATCGATAACAAAGAAAGTAGTCACACATAATTAGTTAAATTTATTTTAATTGTTATTTTCAAATGACTTTACGATTATATTGAAATAGCAATCTAAATTGTAAGAGATGCTATTTGTTAAATGTTTAAAGTCACGTTAGTTGCGTGGGCTGGTATAGTATAGTTAAAGAACAAAGATAAAAAAAGGGTTACGAACTCTAACGAATAGCTGTTGCATCAGTTAGTTTAAAAAAGAAATTTAAAAAACCTGTCCCACATAATAGGTACTATAACCAACACTGCGTTGTTGTTATAATAATTAAATTTCGTGCTCAGACATGGCAGTTAAATCAGTGTCCAATGTTTCTTCGGAGAGAAAACAAGCATATGAATTTGATATGAATTTGTTTAGATGCGATGTGTTACTTCAATACATATTTCGCCAACAAACTACATTAGCAGTTGGACAAAGAAAGAAAGCCTTGTCCATCTGAATAATTATATTTATTTATATATATATATATATATATATATATATATATATATATATATATATATATATATATATATATATATATATATATATATATACATATATATACATATATATATACATATATATATACATATATATTGAGTGAAGGCCAACTTGCACCAAAGTACTTAAATCAAATTTATAAGCTAATCATGTTTAACCGAAGATTGTTTTAAGCCTTATCCCATACCTGAAAAATCGTCAAAAATTAAATAAATGTTAAATAGGATAATTGCCTTCAATTGTTACAATATTTTTTTATTCTGCAATTGGCGCCACTTCATTGAATTGAAATATTGATGAACAATGACGATCCGAAAATCATCCAAAATATACTTATTTACTAGTTGACCAAATTCTTGAGTTGAGCCAAAAAAAGGGGTTGTTGGTAGAAAGGTGAAAATTTAGGGTTGTTGTTAATCATAGGAAATATAAAATAATTATATTAGTCTAAAAAAATATTTTTGGGCTGAACCACCTTTATTACTATTCTCAGACCTATTGAATATACACATAAAATTAATAACAATCAGTGAAGCTGCTTGCTGAGGAGTTTTGTTACCAACACGAGAATTTTATATATTAGATTTATATCAACTCGTTAGGTTAAATACACTTCTGGACACATCTATTGGCCCACCTTGTATTTTCAGTTTCAATTTCAGGACCAAACGTCCTAGCTAAAATTTTATATTAGGTCGAGCAAAAAGTTTTTATGTAGTTTTGAACCTGGCACATTCACAATTTCATTCAATAATTTTTTTGAATTTCGAACACAGAATTTAAAGAAACAAAAGACAATTTGGAGCCTGTTTGTTGATATCAAACAATCGAATACTAAGAAAACTTGGTGTTATTGGTTTACTTGGATTTAATTCTTGAAAAAGTGATTGATATCTTTGGTTTTGCAACAAACATTACTTATTCTTAACATTAAGGTGAGGTTCTATCAATAATCTATGGATACTTCACCTGAAGTCGCCCCCCAAGCTGTGGCATGATAAACTCTATGCCTAATCGTATGAGAGCTGTGGTAGATGCCCATGGAGGCAACAAGCGTTATTAAATTAAACCTTTATTTGATAAAACATGTTTTTTATTCAAAAATCAATTGCCTTTAACAAGGCGCATATCCGACTTGTTAGGCGTAGCTCCATGTCGTATGGTATTCTAATTCAAATTTAAAACAATACGATCGAAAAAGATGGTAAAATGTATCAGGTTTAAAACTGCATCAATAGTTTTTGTTCAATCTAGCAATCATATTTCGGTAGTGGCCATCGAAACATAAACTCTAAGGTGGGCCAATAGATGTGTCCAGTAGTGTACTAATTCTGACAAATGACCATCGGCATCGTTGGCAGTTGTGAAATACACTAGGTGTCATGTTATGTCACGTCACCTAAGCCAGGGTTAACGATTTTTTCCTTGTGTATTTAACTGACAAAAAGCTCAACGGTCGGCGGTCTTATATTCATGAATCATCATAAAAGACAATAAAGACAAAAACAAACTACCACGAGTAGAGCATTCTCGAGTATTGAATAATGCATTCATTACATTTCTAATGAACGTCTTCAAGTACCTATTATCAAATTTCAATGGCGCAAGCCCCCATTGTAATTAGGACAAGTGGTTAAAACAGCCGGATTTCAGAAAGGAACATACTAAATCAGATTCCTATACTAGGAATCGTGTAACAAATACATAAATAGCATCATAATACTTTCTTAAAATACAAAACAGTTACCCGTGCTTTCGGAGAAAATTATTGTAAATTCAGATTTATAAAAACACACACAGTCACAATAGTCAACTACACATTCCTTCAAACAGCACTGATCCCAGGGAATAAACTTCCACTTTTTTGTATACAATGAACGAAAAAATTAAGTGTGGTATGTAAGTAGTTAGTGATCGGAATTCTCATGAAGCCGCCAGCCGGTCCGGATGATATCTACCGAGTGACTAAAGATACGGTCGGTCGACGGACGACCAAAGCCGGCGTCTCGATAAGTTCAAGGCGTTGCACAATATCCCGGACCGTAATCTCAGCTAGCAACCGTTTGTGACAATAACAAGCTATCACAACTTCACTAAACAGCAACGTCGATACAACGGTGAATTTTTAAACATTAAATTTATCTACGACGACGGCGCTTAAAATACGCGGTATAGAACACAGTAAATAAGTGTTTATGCCTAAATCGCTCTTAAAATATTAATGTTGTAGTCATCGCGTTTGGCCGTCAGGTTAAACGTATCATGTTTCTCAAACATGGCATTCTGAAGATTCGCTGTATTTTAAACGCATTTATAAGCAGTTTCTCCAAAGCCTTTAAAATTGACAATATTGAAATACATTAATCATTAGATTTTTTATGTCTGTAAAACAGAAAGTGCGTATATTTTTCCGTCTTTTATTAATTTATTACATAAATGTTTCGCGATTTCTAGGAAAGCCTGAAGCAATAATGTGCCGTCAGCCAGCTGGTGTCGCGAGTCAATCTAGCACCGCTGCAAAGACGTTTCATGCACAAGCACGGACGCCGATCGGGCGTTGCAATTATAATATCTACAATAAATATGTATTAATAAAATATACAATGATAAACATAACCAGCATACTATAATAAAAATAATCTAACAATCGGTCATGATTTTTGATCGTGGTCAAATCGTCAGTCTTTTAAATAGGAGCTCCTGGGGGGTACACGTAACATCCCTTCTCAATATGTCTGACGCGATCGACTACTTTTTCCCCTTTTTAACAAGCTTTTATAAGTTTCACCTGTATGTTAGTTTGTATGTATGTAACCGACTCGTTTGGACTAGATTTTGCCCTACTTTAAAGCCTACCATTCACAGGCGCGCCAATCCGCCGGATTTGTCGCTGGCGACAAGTCCGCGGACAAATCCGCGTGTGAATGTATTGGTGAGTGCGGCTCGCGGCTCGGCGCTCTCGACGGCGAGCGCCGCGCCGCACCCCAGCCGCGCCGTACAAATCCGTACGTGTGTGTGCTTGCACAGATTTGTCGGCGAACTTGTCAGTCATTTGTAGTGCATGCACGCAGAACGACCTCTTAACTTGTTAATTCTGTATCACTTCTGCATCACTTTTTTGACGTTTATGCGATACTGTTTTAAGTCAAAAAGTTGAACATAATACGCATTTAAGTTGATATCAAGTTAATATCATTTTAAAGAGTTGATCATAATACGCTTAATTTGATGACATTTTGATATCGCATTTTTCGGAGAGCATAATACGTAATGTGAAATTGACATCAAAACAATATCACAATTAGCGAACACAAAGAGCTAATTGTATCTCTTCTACAAGGGGTTTATCTCTTCTACACATGTCCTCGGCATGAGCTCGTTCTAAATAGTCCATTACTAACCCGAAACGAGCCATTTTACTCTTTTTTATTAAAAAAAAAGGAATTTGATACAGAAAAACCACCTCCTAACTTGTTAAGTCTGTATCACATTAAATAAAACTAGTTTTTACGGGTTAATGCACGAAACTTTATTTATTTATTGACGTTTCGCAGCCTTTTCAGGTCTGCATCGTCAGAATAATGATTTTTTATTTAAAATTGTCGAGCTACCTTCGAAAGACTTATATTGAGCGTTCGGTTATTTCATTGGAAGATTTTTAAAATTTTATTGTCTATGTATGAATTTATTATTTAATTTACTTAATAAAGTATTTTTATTTAAAATTCTTGTTTGTAATTTTGAGTTTATTTATTTGACCCTAACTACCGTAAACTACCACCGGTTCCAAAATCGGGAGACCTTCCTGAGAAGAACCGGCGAAACAAACTCAAGAGAGGCTTTCTATCTCCTTCTTATGTTAAATTATGCAAACAAAAAGAACTAATAGTATCTGATGGTCTTGCAGTGTGTGCTCGGGGTTGGGATTTTATCTCCTGTATAATAGGTTCCCAAGCTGGTGGTATATACCAACCATCTTCCCTATTGAAATTTACTTTAAGCGTTGTAGACTTATCAACGATCGACCACAATACAATATTTTGATAAGCTTATTGATAATAACGTGGTAAACATATTAGTTTTATTAACACGCTTTTATTAGGTGTACTTGTATGTAACTATGTAATAAAATCTAAGAATCACTTCTAATTCTTGTATCATAATGAAACTTGGCAATTATATGTAGATTAGATAACAATACAATATTATGATACCATCGAGCTGGATGATGAT